ATTCCATGCATTCTATCAGACCACAATGCAATAAAGCTTATAGTTAACACCGGAAGAAGCCTTAGTCACCACATGGACACATGGATATTAAACAACACACTCCTGAATGATGAATGGGTCAAAGGAGAAATTAAGAAAGAAATAAAAGTATTTCTGGAAATAAATGAAAAGGATAATACAACACATCAAAACCTCTGGGACATGCTGAAAGCTGTCCTTAGAGCGGAGTTCATAGCTCTAAGTGCCTATATGGAAAAATCAGAAAGAACACAAATAAATGACTTAACACTGCAACTCAAGACACTTGAAAAGCAACAGCAAATGAAACCCAAACCCATAAGACAAGAAGAAATAACAAAAATCAAGGCAGAAATTAATGAAATAGATACAAAGAAAACAATACAAAGGATCAACAAATCCAAGAGCTGGTTCTTTGAAAAGATAAACAAGATTGACAGACCGCTAGCCCAGCTAACCAAAAGAAAGAAAAAGCACCTCCAAATCAACAAAATCAGAGATGAAAGGGGAAACATAACAAAAGACACCAGAAAGATACAGAACATTATAGGGAATACTTTAAAAACCTATATGCCAGTAAATTTGAAAACCTAAAAGAAATGGATGGATATCTAAAGGCATGGGAACTACCAAAACTAAACCAAGAAGAGATTAACAGTTTAAACAGACCCACAACACAAAAAGAAACTGAAACAGTAACACAAAACCTTCCAAATAAAAAAGTCCAGGACCAGATGGATTTACAGCAGAATTCTATCAGACATTTAAAGAAGATCTACATCCAATACTACTTAATTTATTCAAAAAGATAGAAATGGAGGAAGAACTTCCAAATTCCTTCTATGAAGCCAGCATCACTCTAATATCAAAACCAGGTAAAGATACAACCAAAAAAGAAAACTCTAGACCCATATAGACCCATGATCATAGATGCAAAAATTCTCAACAAGATACTTGCAAACCACATACAGACACACATCAAAAAGATCATCCACCATGATCAAGTTG